AGCTTTTCCACACCTCTGCCTTATGAGGAAACACCGAGAATAAACACACCACAAAGAAGTTAACCTATTGATCTGCAACTCCATTCTGTGTTAGAACAGATGATACAAGCAGAGATTTCAAATCCCCTTGCCCATGGCCCCTTGCCTCTGCCTCTGCTCAGACAGTCATGTTTTGCTTTTTCTTGCTAAGGACATCAACATCATCATCTTTTTGGTAGGAAAAAGAAGCCCTGTGGCTTATAGTAATCCCTTTTGAGTAGCATCCTTATTTTCAAATAATTTTTCTCCTCTGCTTTGTTTCCCTGAAGCCTGCAAAGTATCAGGAAAATTCTTAAAATATTGAAAATCATGGTTTGAGGAGGACAAGGTTGCCACAGCAACTGACCAGTGTTCCTGAGATTTATTCCTGCATCTCTCAAAACCATCACGAATGCCACAAACTGCTGAGGCACTTGCTGCAAACAAAGCAGGGCTAGAGGAAAAGAGAACAGAAAAGAGCACTGAGCAGCCAGTTGTTGTAAAGGTGAGAAGTGTCAGGCTCAGGGAAAAAGTGGCAGGCATTTAGACTTCGTGTTAAATCCCCTCAGCGTCTGGAATGCCGTGCAGGCGTATGGAGTGTTTGAACACGAGACAGTGCCTGACATGACAGTGGATAATGTCACTTGGCTTCTGCTGCAACTCCGTGATCCACTCGGGAGGGTGACATTTATTCCATCCAGAAGGGAAATACTTTCAGATATAGGAGGCCAAAGTTAGCTGCTGCCTCCCTTTTGGCTTGCTAAACAACAGTTTTCTGGGACAGGAGATGCCTGACAAAGTGCTACTTGTCAGCCAGAAGTGATCAGCTTTTTCATGGGTTTGGGACTGGTCTCAGTATGGACTAGTGAGCAGAGAGCTGTGTTGGGGGTCAGGAGGCTTAGCACCTCCATTCTCCTTTTAGCCCTGGTTTTCCCATCTAATAAACAAAACTAATGTTATATTATCAGAGCATATAATCTCTGGGTCATCTGTTTAGGAAGGCAGACAGTCGGTACCATATGGTTCCATTGTACTGCAGTTAATACAAGGGAAAATACACCTGTGAGCTATCTGAGGGCTGCTTTTTAAAGGAACAGAACTTAAAAAGAATTGCAGGCTATCAGATGTTTAGGTTCTGTGTGCAGGATCTTCTTTTCTGCGAACAGCTGGTGCCTGTGTGTGAGAAGCTGTACGAAGGAGCCAGATGTGATTACCTATGGAACTTTCCTTGGGAAGGGGCCAAAGTGAGCGAGCAGTTCATGTTTCCAACAGTGCAGTGTGCACATTTGCACGAGCTGAAACAGAGTGGTCTGTGGCCTGGAGCCATGCTGGCACTTCAGACACATAATCTAGCACTTTTCAAAACATTACAGCATTTAGAATTGGTTTTGCTCTGGGACTTCTGAATTTCCATTCTGAATGTCTGTGCACGTGTGGGAGATTTTACCTCCATATGATCTCATGTATTCTATGAATACATTGTGCAAAGTTGCAAATATAAAACAGAGGGTAAGAGTTGTATTGGTAGTTTTGTAACAAAGCTGGTGTTATTTATTTGAAAATTTAGGGGGTTCAGTCCAGCCCTCTTTTTCCTCCTGTGTGAGAATGATGTGCTCTCTCATTTTGGTGGCAGAAATGTGTTCTTTTTAAAAGCAATCAGGATGAGATGGGACCCAGTTGCTCTGCTTGTGTAGGAAACTTAGGGCGGTTTTGGAGGCAGCTCTGATTCATTTAAACACTGTCACAAGCCTCATATGCTTTTAGTGTTATAGAAGCCAATCAGGCTAGTGTTTGAAGGTATAAGATGCCCCTAAGGGCTTTGCTCACTCAACTGTACTGAGGAATTAAATGCTCTGAGGCAGTGCAACAGCCTCGTTCACTCCGGTGTTTCGAGGCAGTCATCGCTGGTAAATGGGCCCATGTTACAGTGACATTAGCATTTTAATGCAACTAAAGAGGAGGTAGATTGACTGTAATTTAGTATCCAGTTGCATGGCCTTGTGCAGGTCCCCTCATTGCTGCTCCACAGGGGCCGATTACAGCTACACAGTGCGCTTTGGGATCTAATTGGATTTACATGCACTAATGTAGTTGTGTCATAGCAACGATTCTGCTGCACAAGTGCTATGAAATTCCAGAACAATTAGTTATTTATGCAAGAGCAATACTTACAGGATAACACATGGGGCTGACAGCTTGTGCCAAGGTCCAATTCTAAATCAAGAAGTGTTTCACTTTTTTTTCTGAAGCCACTGAAATTATTCTGATCCGGCTTCCATAGAGATGTTTCTCCTCACCCTTCACGGTGAAAGCACTGGCTTGACGTGGAGACCCAGCAGGACCTGACTTCTGTCTTCAGCTTCTCCTTTCTTGGAGCATATGGGCTGGCATGGGTTTAAGTGTCTCTTGACCCTGCAAATGTGATGAGTGCAGGGGACTGGCAGTAGCTGGAAGCCCTTTTGAAACACAACAGTTTTAAGGGGTTCATCTGGTGGCCCTTCCTGTTCTAGCCAACAGGCTGGACTTGTCACAAAGACAGTCCTTGTTTCACTTTGTCTGCTTCAACCCCTCTCTGTCCCATCCCTCTTTGCTCTGGAGCTCCAGCTGTCTTCCTTGCAGTGTGACACCAGCAGGAGGCACAGGTTTAGCTGCTTTTCCTCCATCAAAGCCGGCCCCTCAACGGGCTGCAGTGTGAATGTGACGAGAAGCCAATGCTCCTAGAGTTGATGTGGTGGCTGTGGACAATGCACCAGCCACAGCTGGCCAGCCCAAGGATGAGGCTTAGCCTCAGCTGTGGCTCCAGCTCCCACTGTGTTTCCCCAGAGACTGTAATTAAAGGCAGCAGCTTGCTGGAGTCACAATTAGGCATGGTGGGTTTGCACTTTGTGCAGTTCTCCCTGATGACAAAATCGTAGCTATTAACCAAAGAGAATCTGTTTGGCAGGGACTTCTTCCCCTTTAAGGCGACAGAGTCAGGTGGAACACTGCTGCTGTTTGGCACTAAATGCAGTCTTTCATCTCTTCTGACACAGTACCTGCTGGTACCTACTGAAGCATTTAAACTCTTCTTCTCTGGGGTGCTGTAATTTCTTTAAAATATTGTGACTTATGATGGATAAAAAAATAAAATTCCTCTCCCACGCAGACCTCTGAGGGCTTGTAGGAATGTAATTATATGCACACACAGTAGGAGCAGGAATCCTATCATTCTGGTTATTTTCTTAATGATAGGTTTATATAGCACAGTGTCATCTCTGCTTTAAAGTTAGAACCATCTTCTCTTGCCAGCATCCATCCCAAGACAGTGGCATCACAGCACAGGACAACTGGAGAAATTTGTCTCTCAATCACACTTGCAAAACACAGGATGAAGTGTCCCTACACACCACAGAAACAGATCTAAAGGTGGGCACTGGCTCTGAGTGCCAAACAGGGGCTCCCTTGTCCCAGATGTGCACTCTCTTCACACTGAACTGCTGCAGCCGTCTCCCAGGCAGTCACACAGCACTCTGAACTCTGACACTGGTGGGAAAGCTGTGCTCATCTGGAGCAGCCCTTGTGTCCAGCATTGTAAAGCAGGGCAGTTCAGCCACTGCTCTTCTGCATGTCACAGCACAGACAGGTGAATTGGCAAGAGATGTTTGTACCCTCCAGATTTCAAAGGAGAAACCATCCCTGTTCTTCTTCCAGAGATGTAGGTTTACAGTGACAGAGGAAGGACGTTAAATGTGAGGGATTAATGCAAAACACAAGGCCTATGAATATTCATTGTATGTTTTATATTGTAATAGTTTCAGCCACCTTGAAACTCCTTGTACACTTCCTGCCAACAACAAATGATAGACTTTTACTCACAGAAGTCTTAATGGCAGGCAATTTTCAAAGGCACGTTTACAAATGTTTGTGGGAAACAGATGTTAATTGCCCCTACTCCAGAAATCATGATGAAATGCTGGCAGTGAGAAGGCAGGGAGAGACCCAGGTGACTTATCTGGTGCCTCTCAGGGAAGCAGCAGCTCCAGCAAAGCTGTGAGTATGCCAAAACCATTTCTGAAGGATGAGTGAGCGAGCTGCAGTGCTGAGCCCTGCATATGTGAGTATTGGACTCTTATGGCATGGGGTGCTCCTTGAAGGGTTAAAGCCTGCCCCTTCTCCACAGGCCCTGCAATATGGGGTTGGGGCTGTGCCAGAAAAAGCAATCTAGGAGTGGGTGCTCTGAGAAAGCAAGAGTCAAACATGTGTGCCTTGCACATTAGTCTGTAGTATCACTTCACCTTCGCCTAGTCAAAGGCTGTCATTAGCATTGTGTGGGCAGAAATTAAAACTTACTGAGAAATTGTGATTGTTACCTTGAGGACAGTGGCAGTCTGCACCTAAATCCCTTTGCCTGCATGCATTTATCCAATGCTTCTGGATGGACAGGGCTGTGGCTTTGCAGTCCCTCTCTGTTGCTGCTTCCCAGGCAGTGACAACCAGGCAGAGGGAGAGGAAATAGTTTGCTCAGCTTGGTGTGACAGCTGGCTGGAAGAACGAGGGATAGCACCCAGCATTTCACGCTGCTACTCCTAATGGCTGGGCTTCCCAAAGATTCATTCCATCTCCCTTCCTGCCTTTTCCATTTTCCCAGTAAATGGGCTGTAAAGTCACAGCAGATTAAAGTTTGTCTAAACCTCCATAAAATATTGAAGGTGCAGCTGGTATTAATCTAGTCCTCTTGTGGTATGAAGTGCATGTGTAATGGGACTATAGATTTACGTGTGGTCTGTGGGCATTTAAAACACCCCAAAGATTGTTAAAGCGATTCTGAGGCATTGAATCCCTCACCAGGTATTAAAAGCTCTTCATTAGTGCTAATGTACACTAAATTAAGGTGGCAATTAGACTGAGCACGTACATCAGGATGGCATGTTTTAATAAGTTGTGTATTTAACATGATTGCATTTTATTGACTTCTGCAGTAATTACGTATTTTTCTCTTGCAGGATAAGCTTGGATAGAAGGAGATACATGGGACACACAGACAATTAAACACTGGAAGAGACACTGTGCTTCAAGTCCCAAGATTAGTAAAGGTGAGTGCTGTTAATGGCTTGCTCTTTCTATACACCAGGTACTTTCTGTGTGTCTCTGTTGGGGCAGCTTAAGGGTAGCTATGGTGTGCTGGAGGTGGTAAGAAATACACAGCTCATCTGCCACTGTGTCACCAGAAAAGTACTGCAGAAAGTCATCCTTCCTTATGGAACTCCTTATGAAACTGCTCCTAATCTCTGTTGTATCTAGAGGAGCAGACTGTGCAAAAATAATGCTCTTGAGAGGATTTTCTGGAAGGCCCTTCCTGTTAGATGTGTTCTCTTAGGAAATCCCTTTACACTTTGGTGTAAACTTTAATACCGCTTGCAGGTAGTGGGAACACAAATCCTCTTATGGGAAGGTGTACTTGGGAAGGAAGGCATGCTGAGCTGAGTCTGCAGCCCAGAGGATGCCTCCCACGTTTCTGGGGAGAGGACACAATGGAGCAATGCCAAGTGGTGGTGATCCTTTGCCACTGGTGCAGCTTAGGGCTTCAGGCATGTTTCCAGTGACATCTTATCTGGGACAGCCTCTAGAAATCAATACTCTTACTTGAAAGAGAATCTAGTCCACCTTTTCCAATGCCTTTAGAGGCTACCTGGCACTGTTCTGGTGAACTTCAAACACATCTTCTGCTTTTACTTGGTACATTGTGTATGGCTATGAAAATAGGTGTGAGTTTGCATCTCACCCTGCTGAAGCCACAGGCTAATATTTTGTAGGAAGTACTGCAGAACTGGCTCTTATGTTTTAGAGGAAGCAACAGTTCAGCATCAGTTCAGTGGACAAGTTCTTTGTACATGTTGACAGCAGAGATATGTATATGTTGAAAGAAGATATATGTGGATCATGTGATAGAAGAGCAGTGACTGAAAAAGTGATTTGCATGAGGGCAAGAGGACCTGCAGCCATCTCTCCCAATCTCAGTTATTCTGTGTTTTCTATCAAGTATTTGTGATGGGTAGACTGTGATGAGCAATCATTCAATCTGTTTGAATTTCTACACTGAAACACAAATTGTCTGCAGTGCCCTGTTAGGGATGGGCAAGGAAAATGGTTCACACATTTATTGTCAGTAGAGGGTAGGAGTGACAAAATACAGAAGATGTGAGGATTGAGACTGGTGAAGATAAGGTGCTCCTGGCAGTTCTGACAGACTGGCACATCCATGAGATGCTCTTGTCATTTGCCACCAGGTAACAGACACACCTTGGGCAGCTGTTTTGAAAAGTCTTTTTACCAAGGAGAGTCATCAAACACTGGAAGAGGTGTCCAGGGAGACTGGGGAATCTTGGTCCTTGGAGATATTCAAAACTTAATTAATGTGACCCTAGGCAGCATGCTCTGACTTTGAAGTTGGATCAGATTTGGAATTGGCCCAGGTTGGAGGCAGTGGGTGCTTGTACTCAGTGACATCCAGACGTCCTGTCCAACCTAAGTTTTCCAATTATTCCTTCTTCAAAGCAAATGTGAAGAAGCAATCTAAGTGAATCCATGGATTTCAATGAAGTGTTAAAGGGATATGGGGGTTGAGGGAAATGTTAGTGGCAGCAAAGAGAAAATTGGAGGCTTTTTGCAGGGGTGTGGTTGGGCAGCTGCCTTTAGAAATGTGAAGGTCAAGGCAGCTGCAAGGCATGCAAAGCAAATGACAGAAGGAAGTGGCTGGAGAACAAAAAAATGCATTGCCTTAAAAAACTAGACTCTATTCCTAACTGATTACAGCAGCTGGGCTGTGTTTCCTGGCTACACTGCAGGAGACTTTTAGCCTCCTCATCCCTTTGCAAGATAAAATTCATAGGGGATATAGGGGAGAGAGAAATGTAGAATAATGTGCCTAAGAAAAAGCTGAACATTTATAGCTACACTTCAGACAAAAACAAATGCATTTCATATGTCTCACAGGTCTGAGATGGGACAAGCCAGGGAGAGCATCTGTCAGCCTCTGTCTTCTGCAGTTCTGACTGTCAATGTTTGCTTAGCATTAAATGTCTCCTGCAGAGAAGAACTTAATCTCTCACAGATTTGGGGCCTGGAGGAGGGGAGTGAAGGTATTTTTAAAAGGTAGATTAAGACATATGCATTCAGTTTTTATCACATTTGTATCAGTGTGTAGTAGGAGTAACTGAGATAATTTGCTCTTTGTGCATATGGCTTAAAAAGAAAAGTAGAAGGAAGGCCCATCTGTGTGGGTCAGGGCTGTCCTTTAATGTCAGTTATTTTAGCCATGAAGCCTGTCATCAGGGACTCCAGGTACCTCCAGCTAATTAGCAAGACAGTAGTTGGCACAAATGCATTCATAATTACATTATTTGTAAGTCATATTGTTTGCATTTTGCTCACATTGTTTGTAAACAGCTTTACTTACATACTCTTCAAAGTCCACTTACACCACTGCAAATATGAACTAGATGGTGTTATATGCTAGAGTGCCCAAGCTGTGACACCAAATAGTTTTCAGTGCCTCACAAGAGATCAGATCTTGCTTTTGGTTGATTTGCCCTGTTTGAATCAGTGCAATAGCAGGATCCAAACGGTGGCCCTGCATGAGCTGTTTGGAAATCTGGGTACCCAGCAGGACCTGTAAAGTGTGTGTTGTGCTGATATGTGTGGTCTCTCCAAATTGTACACACCACCAGTGCAGCAGTTGCTCAGAGCTGCTGTTTCTCAGATCAGTTCAGTGAGTTGGCATTTTTTGGAAGCTTGCATTGAGTTCTTCTGATGTGGAAACTCTGATATGGTTTGTTCTTGGCTTTACCATCCCAGACCTCACATTATTGGCCCTGAGTTCCATTTGCACATCCTGAGTGGAAGAAGTTTGGAATCTGAAAGCCCCAGTGGGTGTGGTCATGACCTGAAGCACAGCACGATGAGTACGGCTGCACTCAGTTATTGCTTTGCTGTGTGAAGTGTCCTGGGTTTAAGAAATACAAATTTGAGCCCAGTACCACTGCTGGGGACAATTTCTTGCCCAAGCAAAGAAGAAGGAAGCCCTTGTTTGTCAAAGCTCAGTGTGCATGTGTTTGTGTTCTCCCAGGTTATTGTGACTGACTGGTTCTTCCAGACTGTGAAGTTTCCAGGATTTGGTTGCTCAATGGATTTACAATGTCCCTTCCCTATTTATGCCTGGAAAAGATTTTAGCATACTGAGTGGATGGGCAGGCAGGAGAGATGCCTAGAATCATAGCCTATGTTTGTCTTTGAAAATAAAAGTAGACATGTATTCAGCTCGCTCACCTTACAGAGGAAGCAGTCCCAGACATGGAAAGGAAAGTAAGGCAAAAATGTGATTTATCAACACTACAAAGCAGCAAGGCAGTGTTAGGCTTAGGAGCTGCTGCTTCTTGGACCACAGGCATCGTTTTCCATGTGGGTAACTGTAGTGGGGTGTGTGTATTATGTATAGTGTCACAACAAGGCTAAAGTGTTTTGGGTTTTGTTACTTTTTTTTTTTTTTACGATGTCTACTATAATATGGATCACACAGGTGAGTGCTCAAGGCAGCAGGACTTTGAAATTTCTGAGATACCTTTAAGACTTTGGCTAATATACTAAGATTTAGCCATTCATTGTTTCATTGGAGCACGAATTTTTAGTGTGGTCATGGGAACATCTAGGTGACACTAACTGTGTCTGTCTTGAAATCCCAGTACCCTATTGATTTGTCTGCATTTTCATATCCCTCTCTAGTGTCCAAGCCACGTGTTAGTGGAGCTGAATGCTCACCTTTCCTATGAAACTGAAGAATTCCCTGCCCAGCTCCTTAGCCTTCTGGACTTAAAGATCCATTTTCTCTGTCAAATTTGCAGACATGGATTAAACATTTCCTGCAAGCCCACATCAGAGCTCTGTGACCTACACCATCTCCTGCAGCCACTGTCTTGTCTTGGAATTTTTCTGGGCACAACAATTATGTGTCAGGGTTATAAGAAAATAAACTTTGTAAAGAAAAAAATATTGTCCCGGTTCTTGGGTTTAGAATCAGGTTTGTGTTTCTCCAGAAGCAAGCTGGATCTTCTCAGGATTCCTCAGGCAAAGGGGGTTCCCTGGCAGCACCCAGCCAGCAGAGGCACGCTGCTGTCCTGCCCCAGGTACAGGCAGCTGCAGAGGGAAAGCAGTGATTGTCCACAGGAGCTTCTGTGTCACACCAGTTGTGTCTCAGCCTGTTTTGTCACAAAGAAGGAATTGATTTGACTTTAAATCAAGCAAAAGCAGTATACCAAACACACACTGTGTAACAAAAATCTGGCTCTTACCTCAGGCAGCCCCGTGCTGGGAGCTCTGCCTGCCATGGGTTTTCTCTGCTCTCTGGCTAAAGCAGGGCAGTTCCTATGGTCACAGAGGAAAGCACTTCATGAGGCTCTACAGCACTCACAGATCTTGTGGTTTAACAAAAGCAATGGAGTGAAAGGCAGTTTTGTTTCCGGCCTGGTGAAAATCTTGGGTAATTTTAGTTTTTTCTTTTAAGTGAATTAAATGGACTTTGCTAACATAACATTAGATACACGTCTGTTAGGGAATGGCATTTGCAGTGGAGAGAGGGAATGAGATGCATTAAGAAGCATGTGGGCTTTGGGAAGGCAAACCTGTGCCTGTGTGTTTGCAAATGTACAGCTCCATCTGTGCACAGTGCCACGACTGCATCGTTTCAGTGGAAGTTTTACGATTTCATGTATTTATTTGTCTGCCCCTCTAGGGGACTTGGTGATATACTAGCATATTTGGACACATAGTCACTTCATTAAACAGGAAGCAGGAACTTTCCTCCAGCATAGCCTCACCTGGTTAGGATTTATTGCTGCTCTTCCAATAGGAGCCCTGGCCAAGCAGTTTGTTGTCTAAGTCAGACACTGAGTTTCAGAACTGGTTAAGATTCCTTAGCAGTTTTTTCTGCCTCAAAAGCTTTCCCACATTGATCCATGGGCTCATGCAGAAGACCTGTGCAGGGTGGGGTGTAGAGCAGCAGGATTTCACTGGCACAGGGACATCTCACACTGCATGGCAAGCAGGTGTTGTGCCCCAGGCTGAGTAACCATGTGAGGACATCCTCCTTGGGCCCTGCCATTGGGCATTGCTGTCATTCCAAGCCCAAATGTCTACAAGTTTCCCTGAAGCTGCTGTCCATGTTTGTGTGGCATTCATTCTGTAGGGGAAGCCTGTATGAAGAGAGCTGTCCCAAATGCTTTTTGTGTGTCTTCTAACTGGGCACAGCTTGTTCTGGCTCCTGTTCCTATATAACCTTTTTTCAGCAAGAAATAGAGTGATTCTTAGACTTGACAAGCTTTAAGGAGTGGGGAAAAAAAATTTCTTCGTGTGCAGAGGGATATTTTTTCCCTAGTATCTCACTCTACAAGTGAAGCTAAACTTTTCCTCTCCTGCAACCTTCCCCTTCACTTCTGTGCTGGCCTCCAGACCTTAAAGAACGCAAAGGGACCAAGCAGCAATCATTATCTCTTACTAGCCTGTGTTCCCTGTTCAGGTAAGAAAAGAGCTCTTCTGTATAATGAACTCCACAGGGTCTTGGAGGAAATACAAATAGATTGGAGATAGGATTGCCTCATTCCAATAAAAATGAGCCTGCTAAGAAAGTGTTGCTGTTTTGCAGGAGGAATTGGACAAAGGACCCTGAAGACCATGGAGGGAGACTGTCTGAGCTGCATGAAATACCTGATGTTTCTTTTCAATTTCTTTATATTTGTAAGTATTTGGAATTCACTTTCTTTTCTGGATCCTTCTGTTTCCAGCAGCCTGCTGTTGCCCAGCAGGACAGGCTATAGTGTGGTAAAGTTGCCACAATACAGAATATCCTCTCTGCTTTGCACTAGCAATCACAGAGCATTTTGCAGCATCCAAAGATGCTCAGACATTCAGCAAGGCAGCACAGCAGTCACTGTTGTCTGAGTTATTGCTGTCCTTGACAGGGAGTAAACCACAGGGAAAGCTGGAACTAATGGTGCACATGGTTCATCCTTGAACGGCAGGAGAAATTGTTTTCTGCTCCTGGGTGCCCTGCTGGGGTTTTCACTCAGAAGCAGTCCTTTTCCTACCACATGTGGAGTCATGCTTAGCTGTTTGTGTTTTTGAAAGGAAGGGTGGGAGTGCCCAGCCACCCAGACCTCTATGGCAGGTGTGGTTCACGTGAGCCCCTCTACTGGGCTGTCCTCTACAGCAGATCAAGATGTGTTTCAGCTGTACAGAGGGAGTAAACAGTTGGTAGAATGATGTGTCAAGAAAGAAAGAAAGGTGCTTTTGCTGCAAATGATTCATTTATTGAGGAAGAGATACTAAGAGAAGCACGTCAGGAGGCACAGTGTGCCTTGGAGAAACACAAATTCTTCAAATTAACATCTTTGATGAAAAGATAGCAATGAATCCAGTTTTTCTGCAGCAGTTGTTTTATGCTGACCTGTCTCCCTCTCTCCCCTGTCCTTGTGCTGTGACAGCTGGGAGGAGCATGCCTGCTGGGACTCGGGATCTGGGTCATTGTGGATCCCACAGGTTTTCGGGAGATAGTGGCTGCCAACCCTCTGCTCTTCACGGGAGCCTACATCATGCTGGCCATGGGAGCAATGCTCTTCCTGCTGGGCTTCCTGGGCTGCTGTGGTGCCATCCGTGAGAACAAATGCCTCCTGCTGTTTGTAAGTGCCCTTGCAATTTCTCTTGGCCTCTTGGTGCTTTCCGTAGGGCTGACTGGATGGATGATGCTGGGATAAGCACAGGAATGGGTGTTTGTGGTTGTAGCCATTATTCCTTCTGATGATAAGTAGGCTTAGGATACTTTTGCACACTGCTAGAAATACAGGTAATTTGCTTTTTCACCTATATAGGTTTGAGTCCAGCCTGGGAGTGTATTTTGAGCTTTTTATCTTTCATTCTAATTGACACCATTCAGTTGTTTGGTCTTTTTCTACATTTATAAAGTGACCAAAAATAGTCCTTTCTTAGTAAAAACCAACTGTTCCACTTGTAGATTCATCCTTTGGGGGTTCACAACAAAGGAGGGAACACTGGAGCACAGCCCCTGTGCAAGGGAGGCCCCCCATGCCAGCAGAAATGCATCACAGCAGCCATTGCTGTCATTGATGCTCTCAACAGCTGGGCACTCCCTGATACAGCCTATTCTGCTCCTAAAATTAACCACATTTGGACAAATTTTCCCCTGAATGACAGGATTAAATTTCAGCCCATGGTGGTCATCAGTAATTACAAAGAGCTAAAATAAGTCACTTTTGCCCTTGCCCCCCACTCCTCCCAAGTTCTGATCCTGAAGGATTTCCAGCTATTATCTACTACTGGAAGGCATTGCCCATTATATTTTTCTTTTTCTCGCTCTCTTTTTTCTTTTTTTTCTTTTTTTTTTTTTGTGAAATGCGATCTTTTGTTTCTCCCAGTGGGTCTGGGTTTACTGTGGGTTTTGCTTTTTTTTTGCTTTTTTTTTTTTAATCTCAATTTACTGTATTTTGTTAGGATTGTATCTTGCACAGCTGCTTCATGGTTCAAAAAAGGCTTGTCTCTAAACAGGACAGGAAAGTCCTCTTTCTTGAATGCAAGCCCATCTTTTCCTAGAGATGAGTGTGACTTTACTGAGATAAATTCTCTCTGGCCCTGGGCTCCCCTATGCCTTGAGTTCATAGCCTGCAAATGAGAATCCTTTTGGGGAAGCTGCTCTGGGTTTGATTTCTAGTGATTCATCTCAGAAGTAAATCCAAAAAAACAAAGGTATCACCTGTGCAGTCTGTGGAGATCTGCCCAGAGGAATCTAAGAAAATAGAATGGATGAGGCCCAATGAGCCTGAAGTAACTTCAAAGCCTGTCCTTGCCAGATTAAGAAACTAAAAGTGAAGTTTGATGAGAAATGTTGTTGTGAGTGAGTGGGAGAGTAATATGTTCAGTCTGCTGCATACAGACTGGTGACCTGGCTGGGGAAAGGGAGCTCTGAGCCATGTTCTTTCCTGATTTAACATCATTTACAGGTTTGAATATCTCTCCATGTGTTTTAATTATACTCCAATACACTAAATTTTGTGGTTATTACTTTTCTTACTTCTTGAGATAGTTCTGAGCCATGCTGCTTTATTTATTTACCTTAATTATTATTTTATTTTGAAGGAAATGTGAGAAAAATATGAGCTGGAAGTAATGCCCTAGACTAGGAGAAACTCTAAAAGTAATTACTGGATAAGGAATCATTGTTCCATTTTCATCAGCCAGATCTTTGAGGGCTTTTTGTATCAACACCAACTCAGCTAAACAGCCAGCCTTCTCATGTTCAGCAGTGTGAAGCACTTGGATGAGGACCTGTGTTTCTAACTTCTTTTTTGGAGCCACACCAGCTGATGTTAAAATCGGCTGATCTTAAAACATCTGTGAAACCCGAAGTCTGATAGGAGTAAGTTTTAGACGTCGAATAGGCAAAAGATTCATGGCTGTATGCCAGAGAGGCTGGGAACACTTGCAAACGGAGAGTGTGGGGGTGGTACCTGGGGAGAAGTTGCTAGATCAAATCAAGTCCACTTACAAAGTTGTTAAAGAATTGATGAGCCAGAGAGCTGCTTGAGTGAGATTTCACAGTGATGCATAATGTATGCCTGAAGCTTTTAGTCCAAATGTAAACAGAAGACAGAAGGGACAAGACAGATTCATGTTCTCCAGGTTCTGGTTTCAGTGTTTGCAAGGACTTTTATTTTTCATTAAGCTGCTCATCTTTTGGTAAAAAAAAAAAGCCCATCACTATGGAATCTAATCTAATCACTATGGAATCAATGTTGCATTAAGTACAAGGCTGTGAAGTGTTTCTAGATTTCCTGGTATTTGGACCTGGCTCACAAAAAAAGGGAACAAACAGTGGCCTGCAAATCAGACACTGAATAACTTGTCCTGAAGGTCCTCTGACTGCAAAACAACACTGTAAAAATCAGAATCCAAAGTACTGTTGAACATACAACATTGCACCAAGGGACTGAATTCAGCTTTGTTAAAAGAAAAACCCACATTAGCTTCGTTTGGCTTAATTTCAAATGCAGACATCCTGTTTTGCACTCCTGTAAAATGGATGTAAGTATCCCCTCAAACTTCCCAGCATGAAAATGCAGGTCCTTTGAGTTAAAGACAGTTGATGCTCTTTTTGGAATAGCAGTTCTGAAACTGGAACATTGGATAAGTTATGAAAAATAAATATGAAGCATTAATTTGTGGAAACTTCTGATAGACCACTTCTGTGACACCTCCTGTAACCATCACCTGGAGCAAGATTTTTGACCTGTATGAGAGATCCCATTTCTCAGGGTGTTCACCTTGGATGTGGGGAGTATCTGTGTTCAAATGTCAAGTACCAAACTTGAATTTGAATGTGAGGTTACTGTGTCCCATGCATTAATCAGCTGGCTCCTTTGTGCTCTCACATATCAGTAATCAATTTAATTTTTGGAATGAAAACACGTTAAGCAGATTTTGACTCTCCTTCAAATGCAGAATAGGAGCAAGTTCTGAAACACTGATGATCCATCTTTTTCTCATCAACCCTAATGGCTGCTTGTGGGTTTTTTTCTACTGTAACTTACAAATCTGTAATGCAGAGTGCACAATATAAGTGTAAATCAGTTTGGGAATGATAATGAAGCTTATCACAGATAATCTGGGAATGACTGCTTCCACTTCTGCACAGACCTATGCTGGAGCTTGGGTGAACATGTGCCCCCCAGTAATCAGTAAATGAAATGCAATTAGCAGGGTGATGGGATTAATCACTTGATCACCACCTTAGACCTTAGTGACTATGCTGAGATCCCTTGATGGATGATGATGTGAATTTGCAAAGCGTCGTTCATTCTCATCACTTGTTCTTTGCCCTCCTGTGGTGAAATTAAAACAGTCTCTGAGCAGGAAAAAAAAAGAAGCCACACAGAAAACTCCAGCAGTAAGAATAAATTAGAGAGTTAACTAGTTCAGCAAAATCAAGCAACAGCAAGCTGTTAAAAACCAAAATCCCTGCTCATCTGACTTTTCTTGTTTTGTCATTTGAGCCCAGGCTCCTTTTCTTTTGTTTCCACTGCAGAAGCAGGAAGACAAGTGTGATAGGATGGTGCATGTGCTTTTCCAGTCGGGAAAAATCACTTAAAGCTCTGATAATTGACAACAAAACAACATTTTGCCCATCTTAAGCAGATAGTTTGAATTCTCTCTCCATTACCGAAGTGTACAGTGCACAGCCTTCCAGACACTGTTTATAAATCATTGCTTGGGGAATCACAATACCACTTCTGGCCCTGTCTGCCTGTTTTCTGTTTCAGAGAGACCTTCTATAAACTTCTCACACGTACACAGAAGAAATTTCCAGACTTCTCTCGTGTTTATTTTTACTTGTTGCTTCATTTATCTTCATTGGTAACACGTACCAAGTTTGTTACCCTCCACATGATGTGGTCTTACAGGGTTCTCCGTTCACTTTTGCCTTTCTCACACAATGCCAAAATCTAAGCAAATGTCTTAAGGTTTACTCAGTTCTGTAAAATAATCTCAAAGTCTGTGGGCAAATTCTTGGGCTGTTTGAATTTTAGACAGGCTGATTCAAATGGTAATTTCTCTTCATGGCAATAAGAACATACAAAATGTCCACCTAGTTCAGACTTATGGTTACTCAAATCCATGATTTTGTCTGCAAGAATGGAAATAAATGCCATTTTGGGAGAAAGTGTGAATCTAGCCACTTCCTGCTCTGTTTCTATAGCTATTCCTCAGCATCAACATTTGTTGTTTTAAGGATGTTAAAGGGCACATCCCTGTCTGTTCTTTTTACTGTTTCATAATGACCGAAGCAGCATCAAATTAGCATGAGGCATCAGTGTCACTGAGAACTGGTCACAAGAACAGGCAGAATCCGAAGTGGAAGCATCAGTCATCCTGGGCTGGGAACCCTCCTGAGTACCAGAGTGTAGACAAGGTCCCAGGAAGAACAGCACCCTCACAGCAGGATGTCAGTCTCTAGGGATGGCACCTCTAAAGTGCATCTGATTTACTTCTGTGGGGTGGAGGGGGTGAAGGCACAGTGGGTCACTTGGGCTTGGTAACCTCACTGAAACAAAGTGCCTTTGGTAAGACTGAAAACCAAACTTTGAGACTGAAGTGGCAGAAGGTTGCAAAGGCAACAGGATGAAATATAGCTCCAGCTTAGATTGAGCAGCCATGTGCCTCTCTGTTTTGCTTTCCTTCTCTTTTCCTAAAATTATTATGACATAAGTGTTAAGAGTTTTACTTCAACCTGGAGGCCTGTTTCCCTTTTACTATCACTTAATGTGCAGGCTGTGCTTTCTGTCAAGTCTGCAGCATGCCCTTATCTTAAGGATGTGAATATGCACACTTTGGATACCATACAAGACAGGGATGGTACTTGCATAATCAAATTATACTATTATGGTCTGTTATCAACTTTCTGTAGAGGTCCTGTGTGGTTAGTACTTAACTCAGTGCAACACCATTGTGTGGAGGGAATATTAACCAAGGCTAATTTTGTCCTGAAATTAAAACAGTCCATTTTAGGCCATAGGTATAAATAGTTGAGGGCATATCCCACTTCCTCCTTCCACAAAATTAGCTGTGATTATATTACAGTAAAATGGTGTTGTTTGTATTGCAATCAGGGGTGTGTGTGCATTTACATGTGATACCTATACTTGTGTCTGGACAGTTTAATCTGTATGAGCATGTCCACAATTATTATAATTATTAATTTTAACTTTTCCATCAAAATTGGCTTTACTGTTTTGACCTGGTGCAGATTTATCAGGACATACTATGGGTTCTGTAACCTTATGTGCTTTTACTCATTAGAACCAGGCAAAAGTGTGATGAGCTCCCATGTCCTGTGATGAGGTCAGAGAGGGAATGTGTGTGCTTCAAGTGACTGTCTCATGTGGTTTCTTAATAGCCAGGGGAAAAAAGTTTCCTTAGTTATTTTTTCCATCTCTTTGGTGATTAGAAAACCCCTGTATTCCTACTGCATACATTTTGCATATAAATGTATGCATACCTATTGCATACATTTAATGCTATGTTTGTGATTTTTGTCTTATCTCTTCCAGTTCTTCATGTTTATTTTGTTAATCTTCCTGGCGGAGCTTTCAGCTGCAATCCTGGCTTTTATATTCAGAGAAAATGTAAGTATCCAATGGTGGGCAATCTCTGGACCCCAGTGGGGTTATACACAGCTGGAGCAGGGTGTTAGATGGTGGCTGATTTGTCTGTACAGTGGCTGTTTCAAATATCAGCAAACCTTGTTCACTGCTACCCTGTCTGCAGAACTGCCAGCACACCAGGGAATGCTAACTAACCTGGCTAGTGCAGGGTGGAGAGTTTATGGGAACACACTTATTCCTGAAATTTCTAGAGTCCTTTAAAGTCTTCCTGACTCTCTTGCAGCCAAACCAGCTGCACATTCCATCAGAGAGAAGTTTTATTATGAAGTCACACTATGATTAAAAACAACTATTTTCCTTTTTCAATATAACATGTGTTTAATATTAATAGTTGGAAACTCTTGTTTTCCAGAGTCAGTGCTTGCTCTGCAGTGCAAAAAAATCTCTTATGAATCTTCTAATCATATTCATTCTTGATCTTTCATGTTCTGCTGCTCACCAGACTCCTACCTATGCTGCTTGTAAGATATCCCCCCTGTCCTCCCCTAAGCAAATCTCCTCCTACTTACTGTCCTGCTTAGTTTCATCCATCTCTCCAAAGCTTCATATGATGTAGCCTTCCTCTATTCTTCTGCAATGAATATTATTAAATGACCCTCATCCCTCCCCTGTGGTTAATTTTACTACAGTAGTAGTAACCACAGTCTCATTTCTTTCTCTAAACAGCAATGGTCTGTGCAATTTTGTTCATGTTCACACATGTGCAAAGGAGAGCCTGACTGAAGTAGGTCCATCCATCTCTGAGTGATGGCTGTGAAAAAACATTGGCTGGTAGAGGTGGTCACTAGTGACTGTTAGTATTTATTTTGCATATTTTGCCTCTTCCAGTAGCAGGAGAACATACAGCACGTTTGCTGTACTGAATGTGAGAGAAATGTGGCATGAGCAAAGAAGGCCCACATATATACTTTTAATTTTATTCATTTTAAAAAGCTTTTGATGGAAAAGAATCAAAACTTAGGAAGCTGACAGCAAGAGAGTGTGGTATTTGTATAGTAAGATGGGCTTGGGGGGAGTTAGTGAGAGGACTTTTTTCAAGAGAAAAGAGCTGGTGGTCTTTTGTCTTTGCTTCAGATCTGAAGGCAGTGGGGAAAGGATGATTATTTTGTCCTTGTCTCAGATCTGAAGGCAGTGGGGAAGGGATGGCTCTCTGCACACAGAATGGGTGTCCCATTCCAGTTTAGGCTTTGAGACCATGCCCTTATGGAAACACCTATAAACATATTGCAGTATGGGGGGGTCTGGGGTCTTCTGATCATTCCAGCTCTGCTGTTAGGAGTTTTTAGAGAATTCCTTTGGTTCAGCACAAGGAGCAGACTGCACAGGTAGAAACTGCCCTGCAGACCCAGGTATGTGCTTTGTGACAGAGACAGAACACGGTCCCGGGCAGCAGGGCTGGGCAAGCAGCTGTCAGCTGATGGCTCCTACCTCCCCCCTTCTCTGTAGCAAATTGGTAAAAGGTACCAGAAGCTGCCCAGGCTTGCTGCAAGTCCTGGGTGCAGGGTGACTGCACTTATGTGTGTGTCCTCCTCATTTACAACTTGTTTCTGGGCAAAGCATCTGTACCTTGCTCTCCCTTGGGAGCCACGGGACATGTAAAGTCATGTTATCTCACAAGATAAGGTCACAGTGATTATTCTAGATTTCTGTGGCATCTGGCAGTGTTTTGGGAGATAAAACATGAAGGGGAACAAACTTCTATCTTTCTTGAGCTTGTCTCCTTGTTTGTATCACCAGCTTCCCACTCTGTCAGAATGATTGACAGGAAGGGCTTAAATGGGAAGGAATGAAGGACGTCAGATCCTAGCATAACTGGAGATGGCTCTATGCAGAACTCAGACTTGATCTGCAGGTTCTTGTAGTTTGTTTTCTTCTCAGGTTTCTTCTGGAAAAAATAGCCCTTGTTTTGGTGTTGCTGTATATTGTGGTGGTAACTTTTCTGACTTGGAAGCTACTTGTGGCCAATTTTGCTGTCACCTTTGGATTAGGGTGAGCTGCATGGATGGACAGAGAATCATTGATCCCATGGTGGGAAGAATTCTTCACAGTAGCAAATGTAAGGTCGAGATCAGATGTGCTTTTCTATTCCTTAAGAAATAAATTACTTTCAGGGCATGTGGTGAGCAAATGCACACTTAGCCAATCTAAATTTCTCTGAAGCTTACCAAGCAGGATTCTGTGGTGATCACTGCACCAGTCCTTATGGCTGTGGCCTCTCTGGGTGTGTAAAATGAGACAAAAGATACACTTTATCTGTTCACTTTACAGATAATGTTCAGTGCAGGTTTCTCTTTTATAGTTTTACATTCAAACCAGCTCCCAAACACTCAGCGGGGTTAAATTATTAACAGCTAAGAGAGTGAGAGAAATCAAGAGACAAAAACAAGGGAGAAAAGAGATGTTTTCTGCTGAGATTTGACAAGAGAGGAAGAGTCAGTGAAGCAGAGCAAGGTGGTGGGGTAAGTGAAGGTGGTGTTCACAAAGGTGACCTGCAAGTCCAGCTGCACTTCTAAAGAGCTATTTAAAAGCAGTCTCTGAAGAGGAAGGCTGCTGTTAATTAGCTGTAGGATAACCAGAGTTTCTCTTCCTTAGAAAAGGAAGTTTTGGGAGTGGAGAACCCTTTATCATCTAGAAGATCCCCCATAAAAGAATTACTTTCATGAACACTAAGAGACACCGTGAAAGAGCAATAGGAATTGCTTCAGAGGTCGGGATGGGAAAAACCCTGGAGGGATATTTGATTCTTAGTGTGCTGTCTTAGTAAGCAGGAAGGCAGGATGGTAGGAACAGAAGAGCCCAGTGGCAGGGCTTTGGATGGAGTCTGGATGTTTGGATTTTTAGCCCCAGTTCTAACACTCAATAAGCTATTTCCTCACTATTTCCTCAGACATAAGGCAAAAGCTAAAGAACACGAACCTTCCTCAGCTGAGCAGGCAGAGGTGTCTCAGATGGAAGGCACTGCAGGAGTGGGAAGTGCAGCACTGGTGGCTGCATCTCCATGCCCTGCACTGTGCCAGACACATCAGAATGCCCCAGGCTGATGTCGATGGGTAGGAGTGTGTCCTGTCTCCCAGTGCCTTCACCATGGAGGCAGCTTCTTGCACAGCATTCAGTATCCTCGAACACAGCACTGCATGAGAAAGCTGTGACTTTCCTGGGCAGTGCCAGCATGCCTGTGATGTGCAGAAATGCCCTCCTTTTTCTAAACCCCTTTTATCTGGCTGCACTAATCCCAGCAAAGCTATTTTTTGAACCAGTGTGACAAAACAGTCGCACTTCATTGGCTGCCATGTAAATGTATGCATGCGTGTGCTGCTTTGGAGGTGCCCCACCCAAAACACAGCTGAGCAGCTCCTTATTGTTCATGGCTGTGCCTGCCACATCTGTGCTGTTAAAGTGTGTGTGAAGCTCTAGTTTTATCACTAGGTCTTTTGCTCCCTTCTGAATGGTTCTAGCCATAAAAATCCAATGTGCACCAACCTCATCAGGGCTGGTACTTGTTTCATCTAGAGGAGGGCCATGGGCATGGAAATCGCTTTGTCAGCAATTTTTTAAAAGAAGAATTTTTGGGGGTTTTTTTGGCCCCATTTTTCTGAACTTGAGATGCTCAGGATAAGCAGTTTAAGACCAACAAAATGGAATCAGTTATTTTCCTGGCAAATGTACTCTTCCAGCACTAGGCTTTGTTTTAGGCCAAGTGTCATAAAAATCGCACACAAACTGAACAATTTCCTCTGGGATCGCTGCTGTCAAAATAAAGGTTTCACTTTATATTTAAATTACTCTTTTGTTTTAGACCCCAACAAAGGCAGCCGGCTGGGATTATTACCAGTGGTAATATCAATTTCAAAGTCTGTGCTTCAGGAACAGACAAGCATCAAAACAATGTGCTGCTGTCTGCAGGGGTGGGTGCTGTGTGGATAAAGTGCTCAGAGAAAGGGAAGCAAAGGAGAACACTGAGGACATATTTCAGCATCTTCTAACCTCACCTTCCCTCAGTGCACCAAATTCCCAAAGGAAAAATGACATGTCCTCTGGGATTTTTAATATTCAAAAAAATGAGTTAATATCTGTCCCAAGAAAGTAATTTAGGAATTTGACAGCATAACTAATTAAAGGTAGTGCGATTGAGCTAACTGCATGGTTCAAGTATTTGTGACAAAGTTTTGCCCAGTGCTGATGAAGTAATTACATTTGGCCTTTGTTTGTATTTGTAAAGAGAAGCCAATATTAGGTGGTATCCAGGGTCTTTTTAAGTCACTACAGCCTTTTTTTTTGGTCTTTAAATTGTGATACAAACGAAACAAACAGTTTTGTGCTTGTGCTTTTGTGCCCACCCATAGAGCTCATACATATGCATGTGTATGTGAGATATTTCACGTTGCATATCAAGAACCTGAAGCCAGCTTGTAGCAGCCTCTGTTACTGCGTCAGCAGTGCTGTATGAACAACGGGGGAAATAAAAAGGGTATTTTTCAGGCTGCTTAATTCCTGATCCTACAAGTTTGCAACATCACATCAGTGCTCTAGCCAGCCAAGTCCAGCCCCCTTCACTGTGGCTTTTGCAGTGGCAGAAGATTTTGCCTGTGTGGATCACAAAGAACAAGATATTTTGGAGAAGGGACCACACAAGTCCAGATCTATTGGGAACATGAAAGAGGATTTCTTGAAGCTTTTGTTCTGAAGTGACAGAAAGGCAGGCAGCAAGATTGAACTGGGATGTTTAGTTTAACAAAATTATTAGGATTGTATATTTACTATTCCTCCAGAGAGTCATCCTAAGTAAACGTAATTTCAAGGTGTCTAGCTACTCGAGAAGACTCTGAAACAAATTGTCTGTGTATTTATTCTGTTTTTACTGTAAATATAAACAGGGATAAATGAAATTCCAATAATTCATATTGTTGACCTTCAGAAAAAAAGTTTACATTATCTAAACACAAATATCAAGAGCATTTTTTTCTTTATGTATGCAGGTTAGCTTAGATAATCAAAAGCATTGTCAAGAAAATGGTGTTTTTTTCTGATTCATAAGCTGACTTGGCTAGTTCCTATTCATTAAATTTTTTTACTTATTTTTCATTTCCAGAAAGTTTCATCTTGAGGCTTCATTCTGCTTTCTCACATGAAGTAGATTCAGAGCAGTTTCCCTGTTGTTAGTAGGAAGTTAACTGGTTTGACTGAAAAGTGGAGGGAAAAACCATGCTTTGCTTTCAGACCTCATGAATCAGCAAGTAAAAATAGAGATTTTGGGTGTGGATTTTACAGTCTCTCTAAAATCTGGTTTAGATCCATTTCAATTTATTAAATACTTTCAAATAGTGCTGAAAATTTTTAAAAAACCAACAAAACAACAAAAACTAAAACTAACCAACATGTAAGTGTAAACATTATTTTAGAAGTGTAGATATAGAGATTTATTTATTAACTAGATAGTTTAGTCCCTGATTTTAATGAGTGACAGTTTTATTCAACAGGTACCCTTCACCCTCTACATTGACAGGGCTCAGCCAATGGCTTTTCACATTTCTCCTCTGAGGTTTGCAAAAAAAAAAGAACAAAGCCAAAAAAACCAAAGAACCCCCAGCATTCACAGAAGGGAGCTCTGGGAAATGATTGGGAAAGGTGTTGGCAACAGCCTTTACATTTCCACCTGTCTGTGTGTTTCAGCTGACCAGAGAGTTTTTCACCAAGGAGCTGAAGAAGCATTACCAGAGGAACAATGACACGGATGTCTTCTCTGCCACCTGGAACTCTGTGATGATCACAGTAAGTCAGACCATGCCAGTCACATTCTGCCCGTGGTCAGTGGCCACCAACACGTTGCTCTGCCAGGGTCAGCCTGCTTCAGCCATCCTGTCGTGTCCAGCCTAGCACCACGGCTTGTGGTTGAAGGGAGGTGAGACTTTGGCTGGCAGTCAGTCTTTCTCAAATGGAGATGCCACCAGTCCTGAGAGAGACACTCCCAGTGGCTGCATCAGGGTCACCTCGTTTGCCAAAGCCTGAGGTGCTGGAGTACCCTCAGTTTTCAAATATTGGGCACAGAGAGCAGTGGAGGTGTCTGCAACTGGGTATCACTGCAAAGGCTCTGGGCCTTCCACCTTGCAGACTGCTTCAGAATTATTCTTGGCCAACAGCACTCAAAAGCTGGCATTAACTAATGTTTTATTGTTAACAGCAGCTTAGACAGGAGTGTGCCTAATGATATATTTTCACTATAGAAATACTAGCCATCAAAATTAACTTTGTTATTGCACCCCTAATTGGGCAGGTTACAGGCTGACAATGACTGCAGTTGTTATTACCTACCACAAGAAGTTCAGTCTGTGTGTGTGTGTTTGTACATGTGTTAGTGCTCTGTACACCCCACGGTGTATCCCTTCAGGAGTGAAAAGCAGGACGTCAGCTTCTGCAGATGAAAAGTCAATTTTAATCTTAAAAGGAAAGGATGATTGCTGCCCTTCATGCTGATTCAGGACTTTAATAAAGACATTTCCTTTTGCTGACTGAAAGGAGACGGAGTCAGAGTATGACTTGAATCCTTAAAAAGCATCTGACTGGAATCCTAAAGAGGGACCTTACTCAAATCACCTAGCAGTGCCTTTGAGTAGCAACAATCCTGGCCAGTACCTATGGGGAGAAAGGGTGATTGGGAGCCTGGACTGTACTGCTGGGTGGTCTCAAGCAAGTCATTCTGGATATGCCTGAAAGGCCCATGTAGTTTGCAGCAATATTCCCAGTAGTACCTTAGAATCTACAGTATGACACAGAAACAGTGGAACTTCAGAAGGACTTCAATGAAACAGAAGCTCCAAGGTACAAGCACAGGCCACTTCTTTGGAAACAATGGTTATTTTGTCTCTGTTCTGGCTAAAGCTTTCATCCCTATGAGAATAAGTCTTAGATTTCTCATGTCTGTTTTCGGGGAAAGGTGTCAATTCTGTTTTCTTCTCTGTGCCCCTCCCCAGTTTGCCTGCTGTGGAGTGAACGGACCAGAAGATTTTGAAGCTATTCCTCATCTTCCATACTCCTCTTTGGACAAGGTGACAGTGACACCAGAGGCTTGTTGCCAGCGAGAGCTCCAGAGCCGGGAAGGGATGTTTGTCAACAAGGAAGCTTGTCTGTCAGGCAATGAGAGGTTTCAGAACCGGCAGGTAAGGGAGGCCAAACGCTAGGAAAAGGAGCTTCACAGTGGGCAGAGAGATGGCTGCAGTGGTTATGGGTAGCTAGTGAATCTGCCAGGTCCTGACTGTACCTCACATCCTAATTACACTCCTGCCGACAGCTTTTGAAGTGATGGTATATGGGTGATTTTGAAAATCTTCTTTCATTGCATACACTGCTAAGTTCATGTTGTGCTGTATCATCAGAAATAAGAAGATTTTCCTAAGGGATTGAGAGGTAAGATGGAAATTTAGATCAAGTTCTGTTGTGTTTATGAAGGTTAGAAGCACCTGTGAGAAGTTAATTAGCAAGCCAGCACAGGTCAGGTAGGATGGAATGGAGTTGACTCTTACTGGCTGCAGGAATGGTTCCAATCTAATTCACAAAGACTCCTAATCAATATATACAATCAAAATATCAAGGGTTAAACAGCCACAGAAAACCATGTCTGTTTTCTAAGGAAGAGAAGTACTAGAAAGCTGCATTTCTCTGCTTCTTTACTTCTTTACTGTAGAAAAAGGGCATTTATTACAGCTGTCTTCCAGTACCTACAGGGAGTCTACAAGAAAGCTGGAGTGGGTCTTTTTACAAGGGCATGTAATGATAGGACAAGAAGGAATGGCCTTAAACTAAAAGAGAGTAGTTTTAGCCTAGATATTACAGAAGAAATGATTGACTGAGGGTGGTGAGATGCTGAAAAAGCTTGTCTAGAGAAGCTGTGGATGCCTCATCATTGGAAATGTTCACAGCCAGGTTAGAAGGGGCTTTGAGCATCCTGGTCTAGTGGCAGGTGTTTGACTGTAGCAGAGGGGCTGGAACTACGTAGTCTTTAAGGTCCTGCCCAACCCAAACCATTCTATAGTTCTATTCTATGATTCTTTTGCCAGGCCTCTCGACTTGGAAATTTTTTGCAATACTGGACTATGACAAGACAGTTCATCCCATTGATGCTGGGCCAAGTTTCCTTCCAATGTCACCAAGACATGATATTTAAGAAACTTTCCAGCAAAGTTCCTGACTGTGTTTACCTCAGCATTAGTTAAATCAAATGAGCTCTGTACTGACCTATGTACAAGCCTCCTTCTCCCTCCAGACTAGGCAGTGGTCCCCTTTTCAGCACTTCAGAGCAGATTGAGAAAGAGAGGAAAGGATTTTGGAAGCAGCATGTGAACTGTTCCCTGACTGGCAGCTGGAAGTGGTTGGCAAAGGCACTCTGGGTGAGAGATCATAGCAGACAGCACCATGCTGCTTCTGCCAGGTCTGATTGCTGGGAATAGATGGGGAGGAGAGAGATGACAGCCAGCAGGGAGGCAAAGAGAAATGCATTGTGAGAAAGAGGGCTAAAGTTTTCCCTGAGTGGTAATGCTGAAGCTTACCACTCCCATGGAAAGGGAAGGTTTCCTGCAAGTCCATGTCACCAGAATGTTGGTGGAAGTTGCTGTGTTTACAGTGAGTGTCATCAAGCACAGAGTGGTGCACTTCTGTAAAATAGGAGAGGCAATCCCAAGCAACTGAGAGCTGAATTGAGGCATTGCTGGAGCAAAGCCAAGCTCTTGGGCCACCATGCTGTTAGGACAGTGCTGAGCACACTTGTGCTCACTCCTGTCTGTAGCCAGCTGAGCAGAGCATGCTGGAGGCTGGGTTAAGGTTGGACGTCTGGTAAGCACACAAGTATTTGTTGCTGGGCTGGATGCTTTCTTCTGAAAATTTGGCTGAAACGTGGCTGGAAGAGAGCTGATGCTGAGAGGTCTCATGCTGACAAGAGCATGGTTTTAACAGCTCAGTTACTGCCCCAGCAGTCTGGGTCCCCTGGGGTGGCCTCATGAGTGAATCTTCTCCATGCCCTCCCTCACTCTCCACCAGTTGTGCCTCACTCACAGTGGGCAGGGTCTGGCATGGATACAGGTACATAACTATTGTGCTGTCTTTGCAGTTCCAACACTTTCATTATGGGTGGAAAGGAAAAAACCCAGGTAATCGAAACATCCTAGCAGTATGGGTAGGTTTAAAATGTACGTGTGAAGTATACTCTCAGTGGAGAGGAAGCTACTTTTCATACTGGACAAACTCCAATCTACTTTTCTCTTTGTGTGTCAGCTGATTGCAGAAATTTCCCAGTGGGTTGAAATTTTAGGCTGGGAAAACTGAGGCCAGGATAAGCTGGTGATTTCCAGAAATATCCTGAAACCTTTGCAGGAAGATCTACCTACTGTTAATTGTATTGGCAATAATAAATTTAATTAAGGGTGATGGTGGCTATGCTTCATAAGTGGAATAATTGCAATTGTGCAGGGCCCTGAGTTCTTAATTCTTCTTCTATAGCGAGATCAGTAGGTGTTCAGCCAGCCTCTTTTGGGGGAAAGCACAGAGAAAAGGTCCTGGGCTGCTAAAGAGACGCTGGCTGTGAGAGATGAATCAAAAATCTCCTGCCTTGGCTTTAAATAAATAATCCTTTTCTCTAGCCAGTGTGGGATGTCTGTCACCTGCAGTGAATGTCCTTCCTTCCCTCTGTGCTTAATCTTTGCAGATGGAGTTCCTCTCTGTGCTGCTCCTCTCTGCCCCACAGGAACTCACGGTTCCTCATGGTCAGTGAGGGGTGTGAACCCCTCCCACCACACTAAGCAATAGATTTTCCTCCCCAGCACTGTCCCGTGCACCTCTCTCCGCCTCCTGTGCCTGGGGCTGGCTGAGGTGCTGAGAGGGAGCCGTGCTTGTGGTGCCTGGCTCTGAGAGCACCTCGTGTCCTAGCGAGGGCTCTGCTGTGAGAACAACACGATGTGCTGCTCAGGTGTGCCTCACCATGCTTTGTCTTTCCTAGGGCTGCTACACCGTGATCCTGAACTCCTTTGAGACATACGTGTACCTGGCAGGAGCTCTTGCCATCGGAGTGCTGGCTATTGAGGTACTTACTGTGGTCTGAGTGGGACAAAAGCAGTGGCAGTAACCTGCCAGCAGCAGGGCAAACAGGCAGGTGCTCCCCCTGGCCAGGGAAAGGTGCTCTGGCAAAGTGAGCAGACCATCAACTTGTGCTTTTAATTGCCTGGAAAGAGGCTCCTTGATCCCGTAACACAAAGGGCAGGGCAATAAGCGATGCCACACGCCTGCAGTGCCACCTCGTGCTGGACCTGCACAGAGCTGTGCCACGCTGGCCACAGGGGCTTTGGGGACCCATTGCTCTCCATGGGCCCTGCACAGTCACCGCTCCCACTGCCACCGTGCCTCGGCCAGATGATTAATCTGTCACTTGCTTAATGTGCTCAAACCCTGCCTGTGCTTTAAAACCTTCTGTTTAGAGACTGAAACTACGGGCTCCAGGGCATTTTCACCGTCCTGCATTTGTAACCGCTTCTTTGGTGATGTCTCTGAGGAACAGACATGCTCCAGACGTGGTTTTAGCCCAGAAATTCCGTCTCTATGGCATTGCAGGGGAAGGGCTGAGTACTTCAAAAGCCCCCCATCTTGTGCAAAGGAGAGAGATCTGGGCAGAGAGGCCCAGCAGCCTCCCACAGTGGCTGTGCTGTGCCCATGCCAGGCAGTAGCAGTGATGTGCAGAGCAGGGACTGTGGATCCTGTGTCCCTGTGTCACCAAGGACAGTTTGGGAATGAGGTCAGGCTGCTGCTGCAGCCACTAACAGTTTGGGAGGAAGGGAGGGGCAGAGGAAAGAGTTTTACCACAGCCTCCCGTGGGTGGTAAGGGTCTCCCTCTCTGCATCACTGACTGCTGGGCAGGAGGAAGCAATGGGGGTGGTCCCAGGGCCAGGGAGGGCTTTGCTGATCTTCTGAAAGACGCAGCTGACATTTATGGTTCTCTGTTTTGTTTTTGCCCTCTTCTTCCTCCCTCCTCTTCCCAGCTGTTTGCCATGATCTTTGCTATGTGTCTCTTTCGAGGGATCCAGTAAAGAAGTGGCCCATGAACCATCATGTTCCCCACATGCTCAGAAGAAAGAAGGAAAATCTGAAGAAACAAAACCTGAAAACATCCAAAAAAACTTTATTTTTTTTAACAAAACGGGACAGGGAGAAAAAATAAAAATTTAAAAAAAAAAAAAAAAAAAAAAAGAGGGTTGTAATATATGAACGACCAAAAGGATTGTACTTCAGGGGCTGGAACTTTGAGGTGATGTGCACTACACTGTACACCAGACCCTTGCCCAGAGCCACCCACAGCAACCGTGGAGCAGGAGCCCAGCACAGCCGATTGCACTAGAGATGGATGGAGCTGCTGGGGCACAGGAGAATGAGCACAGCTGCCTCTCACACCAGCCTGAGCCTACCATTCACCACTTCATTGTGCTTTAGACAGCAAAGGACTCGAGAACAGACATGCAGGGGCTGCATAAGGCAACAGGTTGGCCTTGACTGTCCAGGTGGGTTTGAAACAAGCGGTGGTGGCTTGTCTAAGCAGGTGCAGTCAACGTTTGTGTGATTCTGGCTTTAATTTCCAGCCACAGGATGAAAACACTCATTCTTCAGTGGAAGCTTTGCCCCTGTCACGTGAAACTTGTCAGAGATGTCAAGCACTTCGGTGAGGCTGGCTTTTCTCTGGAACTCCAAGCAGGGGCAGCGTGATCTAACTTAGCAATGGGACTCAGCTAAGGCTGGCTGAGGGTCAAGAGTTTGGTGCCTACCTTTCTGTTTTTACTAAGATTTATTGTTCATTGTTGTGAAAGAGACCAAATGGTTCTCTGCTGTGTTCCCATCTCCTGGGAAAAATAATGGCTCTGGTCAAGCATCATTGATACTGCTGCCTTCCTGAGAAGGGGAGGATATAATGTTTAAATCTTGTCAAACTTTGCCTTTCCTCTGATACTTGCAAAAAAACGGTTTGTGGTGCTCTGTTAGCATAAATATTTGCAGTGGTTCCTGCATGATTTTCCAGCCCTAAGGGGAGGTCCAGACACGGTGCTGGATTGAAGAGGCTGAAGTTTGTCAACCACTCCCATGCTGTTTTCCTAGACCAGTCTGGTGGAATCATTTCTGGTCAGAGAATTTCCGCTGAGATTCTCCCATGGGCTCATGATGAAAGTAATCATCAAGTCAGAATTATTTTAGTTGATAGTGTTTCCTCCCTTGAGGCAGTTTGGTATTTAACTAACATGTCATCTGCTCAGTCATTTGGAAGTGAACTTGAGAAAGATGCCTGGGACTGGACCTTGGTCAGAGATTAAGCTGGAGCTACTGAGACCCCAGGCAGGATCCAAGAACACCCTGTGTGCAGCCAAACTGCTCCAGCTGTGGCTCCTATGGTCATGGATACTGACTTGGACAGGTGCCTGGTTTCTCTCACCTGGAATCATCAATCGCTGTTGCCTTAATTGTTCATCTGGTCACTTATTCCCTGATCCTAAATTCATTTTACCTGGGGAACAACAGAAGGGGCTGCAGTTTCTTGTTTAGATTAGGTCTTTTTACAGGTTTTATAGGCTCAGATTATGGGAGCACTTTTATATAGGCTCAAGCCAGCTCCTCTGAAAGCTGTAATCTCTGGCAAGGAAGGAGCAGAGCATTAAACTTCGTGTCCAGGTTTTACATCAGCAGCACGTTCATCCTCTGGCTGTTCCCTTAGATCCCTGGGGCTGTGTCCCTTGAGCTCTGCCAGTGGCACTGCACAGGCTACAGGCAAGGAAGTAAAACAGCAGAAAGCCTGGGCCACAATAGACAGAGACCATGGCTGAGTATCTGGGTTGGAGAATCAGGATACTAGGGAACAGGAAGGAGGCATTAGGAGCTTTTCCAAGCTTCATTTGAGAACAACAATTTATTCATTGGCAGGAGAGGGCTGGGCAGGTAGAGCTGCAGCCCCTCCATGCTGCAGTCAGCATATTCCAACAACAAATTATGTGGCCAGGGCTGCTGAGAAGCATCAGATGTTGCATTAAACCTTGTGGAAAGCTGTTCTGAACTATTTCCCTCCGGACCTCCCTGTAATGAGGCATTTTAGTATTAAACTCTGGTCTGTTGTTTAATAAAGAAAAACAGTTTTGTTAGCCAAAACCCAGCAGTATTTGTACTGGACAGCAGGTGCTGCATTTAAGATAAGAAAAATCTGTTCCATCTACCAGTCTTGTAGGGAATGGGCTGAGCAGAAAGCGAGCTTATCTGTTCTCCTTCTGCCTCAGGAGCTGGTGTCAGTGACTGTTCTGGGAGAGCAATTCCCAGGGAAGGAACAAAACTGTCAGCAGAGTGGGTAATTTGGCTGGAGGTGATTCCTCCTGTCTCCAGTTTCTTCCTTTCCTCTCAGTTTATTATGCAGAGTTCTCAGGTCAGAGCCTGGCTGGTAAAATATCCTCATTTGTTCATGGTGGGTGGCTGAAGGGAGAAAAAAGCCTTAAAGCCTTTTTCTGCCACAAGTGGCATGGGGAAAAAACCTGTTAGAGCTGGGGGAACGGGACCAAAGCAGCCAGAGCACAAAGTGCTAAATATACATGCCTGAAGTATGATCTCTGCTAGCTTGTTTCTCTTTGGCTTTCCTAATTCTGTACTCATTGCTTTGTCTTTGTTCTTAGCTTTCTTGCTTTCCCTCTCTCCCTAATGGTAGTCCCTGTATCTTCAAAAGGATCTCTTCTTCATCTGTTTTTCTGGGCTGTGCACAGCTGCTTCTCCTCTTCTACCTTTCCTGATCCCCCACTGCTCTTTGCTGCGTGAAGATTTCAAATCCTCTCTGCAGGCTGGCTCATGTGCCACTGGGAACACAGCTCAAAAGGCCAGGCAGCAATTCCAAAGAAAAACTGGAGATAGCTGTAAAGATATGTGCAAGTTTGAGAGGATCTGTAGTAGTTGGTAACAGGCAGAAGGAATTTTCTTTGGGGGAATTTAATGAACAAGCAAGCCCAGAAAGCAGACTCCCACTGTATGGCAAAGCATGTAAATTTGTTGGTTTTGTCCCTTGGTTTTGTGGCTGCCCCCTCTGTGGTACAGTAGTTTTCAGAACTGTAGGCAGGAGAAGCAATTGTACTTTTGTATTTGTTTTTAACAGCTCTGGTGAGTATTTTGAGGTCGGGGGCTCAAGCTGAAGTCACTGCTGGCTGGAGACCTCTGGGCAGGCTGGAGAGCAGAAGGAGCTCCCATCTCCTTCACTGTAGCACTGTGACCACAGCCCAAGCACCTTGGAGGAAGTAGTAGAGACCAGCCTGGGCAAGCCCCCAGCCCCTCTCAGCATCCCTGCCTCCTGGTTGCTATTTAATGCTCCAATGACTGTCACAAATGCCTGGGAAAAGGGCTGCGTGTGAAATAATGTTTGAAATCTATTTTAAAAAAAATGTAAATGTTCTTTTTATTAGATAGTGGAGCTAATTTATCCTGTATTCCCTACTGTAATGCTTTTTTATATTGAAAGGAAATTTTTTTTGGTAATATAAATCAGAACACAAGCCTGAAGCACTCTCTGCACGTTTGGTTTTTTTTTGTGCATTTCTTAAAAAAAAACCCAAAAAATAAAAGAAAGATATTGTGACAGTGAAGTGAAACAGCTTTAATTTTCACTATTTGCTTGGTGTTAAGTACAGTCACTTTCTTACCAGAGGAGAAATAAACTCAGGTACAGCAGCTAAAATGAGGTATAAATTGAAGTGTCCCATTCTCCCCTGCACCACCACCCCCCACCCACACCCTCCCAAGTAAAAACCCTTGACCAGAAAAGAGGCCAGCTTAGGACAGACAGAGCCTCTCCTGTGTCACCAGCTCCAGTTTGCCAGATATTGGTTAGATGCAAGTAAGATGATGTAGGGAGTTATGTGAATGATGAGTTTTCTTCACCCTCCAAAGTGAGGGCTCTGTAAATGCAAGGGTTTGGGTTCATCCCTGGCAGAGAAAGGGGGTCAGCTCTAAGTCCTGGCCCGTGCCTGCTTGGAGCACAATTCTCTGGGGAACAGAGCCCCAGTCCTGCACAGCATTATGCAAATGCAGGAAGTTCACTGCAGTCTCCCTTGGGAGGTGACAGCGGCCCAAGGCCTCTCTCACAATGTAACAGATAAGGAAGCTGAGGCCTGTGGAGATGGAGTTCTTTTGTCAGCAGATCAGTAGCCAAGCATGAAGTGACACCTCAGGCTTTTGACCCTAAATTATGTTCTCAACTGCCACCTGCAGCTGTGATGTCAGCACTTCCATTCTTGGGGACACAGTTCTATACAAAGGTTTGGCATCCTCCTCCCTTTCTTCCCACTCACAACAGAGTGAAGACAACCAGGTGCAGAGTTGGTTTCTGGCAGTGCTGCAGCTGCTCTGCCCGGGCTCCATCCTCAAACCACCCTGAGCAACTCCCTCCTACTCCTCACCTGCTACGCATTCACCACCTCCCGTGGGCCCAGCAATGTTCCTCCTGCAGCACCTTACTGCTGAGAAGGGACATGCCAGGAACCACAGGTTAGTTGTAGAGGAGGTGTAGAACTCTCTAGTTTCCACATGGTCTGCCTATAGCAAGATACAGCAAGAAGCATCAAAAGAAAATAACTTCATTTCTCCACTTTCAGTAAATCTTTTAAGTGGCCACTCCCACAGGCTCTGCTCTGTTGGAGCAGAAAAAGCCATTGACTGGCAAACCTAGAAGTGGCTGACTAAGTTTTGCAGAGGCAGCTGCTAATCAGGGGACCAGAGAAATCTGATCTCACTTTATTTAGAGCTACCCTGGAGAGCTGTAACTGCTTACTGCACCCTCCCATCTGATCTAACCATCAAGAAGTCTTGTGAGTACTGCTATCACACAATGCAGTAACTCATTTCTCTCACCTGTGGGATGACATTTTAAGGTACACTAATCAGACCCAAGTCATAACTAAGTTCATGGGACCTGTGGCCAACACAGATGGGAGGCAGCATAAAGAAGACCCTCCATTTCCTTCTTCTGTAAGGCTGCTTTTGCTGTGGTAGGTTTTACTTGTCTGTCCTAGGAACATAATTTCCCACCCCCCCAAATATCAACCATCAATCTGTGTATACATTCATGTGACGCCCCAAAACACAAAGAATCAAACTTCACGTACCTCTACCCAAAACTACAGCCAAAGTGCCACACTGAGGCCATTGCAGCTGCCCATGCAGGTGATGCACAGGGGAGAGCAACAGCCACAGCATGCCATGCTCCAGCTCCTGCATGCTGCACCACTTGGTCTAATTTCTGATCCTCTCCAGCCTATATCTGATCATTACATGCCTCACAGGGAAAGGTTTCCCTCTTAGACCCCAATTCTTCCATCTGAACAGGAACACTCTTAATTAAAATTTTTAGTTGCTCAGCATCATTTTTGGACATGCTGAAAGCAGCTTGACAAGCGTGTGTTGTCATGAGGCTCCAAAACTTAGCCTGCTGTTGGATGTTGCCTCTCCATTTGATTTACTTATTAGGCAAAAAACTACGTTACAGTTGTGATGTTTCCTGATTCAACAATTTCCAATATTCTGATGTGACACACATTTTGCATGGCCAGTAAGTACAATGCACACAGTGTCCCAAGCTTATGCAGCTGCTTCTAAATGCCAAAAGCACTAACACAACATACAATAACTACCCACTACCTTCTTCTAACTCTACTAAGATATTAAATAGGAATAGCTGTAGATCCCAGTCTTACCAGTGGCTTGAGGACTGTTGTTCACACAAGCAGTTCTGTTTGTGTAGGAATCTTTCTACTGGGATTTTGGAACGTCAGCTATATTCCAGGGCATGCTTTGATCCAGTCAACAGTAGTGCATGAGTAACAAGTCCATATCCTGTACACAGACCTTCTGGCTTTAGTCCCATGGAGAATAAAAAATGCTGCCTCAAGCTGTGGACAGGGATAATCCACATGGAAAGCACTCGGATGCAGGGCAGTCAATGCTGTTAAGCCCAGGAGGTGTTGGAGAAACTGGCTAGTGAGTACTAAAGCACATTTGGTCTATCCTTGCCATCGTATGCTCTGCTCCTTGCTGTTCTTCATCCCAGTTAAATATTAAATATTTTAATGCTACAAACTTTGGTGCTCTCTTCTCAACATCAGAAGAGATGTGATGCAGATATTAGCAGAGTTGGAACACCATCTCCCACAGCCAGAGCCCACGTCTAGAGGCTGCTCACTGACCCAAGCATCTGTGCAGAGGCTCCTACTGTTACAGTCCTCTGCTCTTACCAGTGCTAACCACAACAGCACTCCCTGCTCAACTAAAGCATCAGATAAAGCTACTGCACACCCACCACTGCTACTAACATTAGTAAAGCTTCAACTGTAGGAAGTGTTCTGGGGTGAAGGGGACAGGACCCCAGCCTAGAAACTTCACGAAACACCCCAAACAAGGGGATGTCTTTGTGCTCAATGGGCTATTTCCAATAGCTTCCTTCACTTCTCACATCTTGTAATTCAAGTTGCTCCACGTTCCCAGTGCTGTCCCTGCAGAGGGAACAAGCAAGGGTTCTCCCTCTTCTTTTGCTGTATCTCCTGCCAAGCTCTGCACAGCATCTGGTGCAAAACTATGAACTACACAAAAATGCACCTCTGGCAGTGAGGAAAGAAGAGCTGTTTGCAAAGCACTGAACTTGCCCCCATCCAGCTCCTGCCTACCTAGACAGTCAGTACTTGCTAAAAGGGGACTGGGCTGAAAACCAGGAGAGGTGAAAGGCTTACCAAGTAGAGTAGCCAAGTGCTTTGTTGGTTGTCTTACTGCCCTGTCTCCTCAGGGATTTGGTTTCAATATGCTGGCCTTATTTTGTGCTTTGTTCCAGTGGGTTCAGAGCCTGTGATCCCATCAGCCAGTTCCTCATAGAAAACTGGCTTTTTTCCCTGAGCCTGCCAGGCCCACACACTTCCCTGAGCCTTCCTCCTGCTGCTCCTCACCTCCTGCAGAGGGGCTGGGGGGTCCTGCTGATGTTGCTCCCCCCATTTCACCTGGCACTGGGTTACACACTAATTCATGCCGGTAAAGAAGGAAACTACTTTAGAACCAAAAGGGACTAAAAAAAAAAATAAAAAAATTATAATTAAAACGCAAAATTACCGACACAAACTCCCCCCTCCCACCTTTCCCATAACAAAAAAAGCCCAGGAATTAGACTTTCTTGGGACGACGTCCAACTTGGTAATAATAATAAATGCTGATGAGGATGAAGAGGGCTCGGCTGACCAGGAGGAGCACAGCACCTGTGGCTATCCGGCTACTCTCAACCAGGGAGACAGTGGTAACTGGAGGAGAAGGAGGGAAACAAGGCAGAGGTTGGTGATGCAAAACCAAAAGGAGACACATAGCATAACGCTGTTTTCTGCTGCCCTCTAATGCAGAGCTTCGGCAGGAACTGCTGAGCCTTGCGAGCGCAGCAGCTCATTCACACACTCAGTGAGCATGGCAGAGGCTCCACACTAGCTTCTGTTCACAGCCCTGAAGCTTGCTATGGACCCCAGAGCTCTCTCTTATAGAGTGAGTCTGGGAGTCTCATCCTCCTGAGCCTGCTTTGTGGCTTGAACACTTCAGGGCTGATAAACTTGCTCAACTTTAAGAGCATCTACAAAGCATGCACAGTGCACACACATCGCCTCTGTCATACACCTCTCTTTTCTGGCCACCAACACATAGCTCCTACCTAAACCAGCTACACACTGAGCTACAAAGACACACACACACATACAAGAACCCCCTTCATTGTTAAATATAGATAAGCTCCCTAGAAACAAGCTAAACTGTTATGCTCTGTTTTGGTAACACTGAACATCACCCTTTTTAGTGCAGGTTGCTAAAATCTTTTCTTGTTAGACCCTGCATCTAGGCAGTCTGCTTCAACAATGACCTGTGCTGGCTATGAAGCTCAGGACACGTTCAGGGAGAAAAATTAATGAATTGTCAGAGGGTGATGTTCAAGGAGCATCTCAGGACAGAGGCTATTCCACGGGGGAGAGAAAAGGCAAGCAGCTGGCTGGGAAGATGCCCACCATGGATCCTCGCTTCCAACCACGCACCTTCCTCCCTCGTCCCGGCCGGGCCGCGGGCACTCACCCAGGAACTGCACGGCGAAGTAGCAGGCCTCGGCCAGCAGGCTCCAGCGAATGATGGCCTTCTCGGCCGTGTACAGCGCGTTCCACATGATGAGCGCGATGCCTGCGGGGGACAGCGGGGCGAGCTGACCGAAGGCCGGGACACCAGGGCACCCCCGAGGGGGCCGGGACACCAGGGCACGCCGAGGCCGCGCTTCCCGCCCGCCCCGCGCGGTGCCGCTGCAGGACGCGGCTCGGGCCCCTTTCCCTTCCCACACCGCTTCTGCCAGCTCCCCGCACCTCCTTGTCCTTCGCCCCCCTCCTGCCGGGATGCCGCCACCTGCCCCATCTCCCCCGCCGCGCCCCCGGGCCCCCTTGCAGGCTGCCTTTGCTGGGGTACATGGGGTGAGCCCCCAGAGATTCAGAGCACGCACAGCCCTTCTGACCCTACCTGCAGCGCGCCTGAATCCCCGCTAGGAAAGAGCGGCAGTAACCAAGCTTTTCAAAACACCCCTTAGCAATTTCTTTGCTAACCGCAGATGTTCTGCCCTCCAGCTGCAGGTGTCGGACTTTGTCCCTGCTGCTGTTTCAGCCACCTGTCCCCTTACTGTGCGGGGCAGCAGCGTGCCCCAGAACATGGTACGGCACTCACTGAGGAGGGCTCCTCCATAGAGCCGGATGGGAGTCTTGCTGCTCACTGACTCCTCCTCAAAGATGGCATCAAAGAGCTGGTCAGGGAAAGCGAGGGCCTGGCAGGGGCGAGAGAGAAACTCAGCAACCTGAACTGGCCAGGGACACCAAGCCATGTCCTCTTGGGCAGCAGGGATCCAGCACCCATGCCTTTGTGGGATTGGAGCTGCTGGCCAGGAAACGGGACATTAAGGAGGTGAGAAGCATCACCATGTCAGCTATCGGCTGCATGGCTGGTTTCTGGCTGCTACTCCTTGGTTTAGGGACCCTGCTAATGAAAACAGACTCTGGTGACAAGAACGAACTGCCTGTTTGGCAAAGCCCATTCCTGAGACACAGTGAGGACAGAGGCCTCGCAGGAGAAAGTGGCAGGAGCTGCTGGGGACAGGGGAGGAAGAGAAATGCCAGGGAACGAAGGGCCATGCTGGGGCTCCCCTTTGGCAGTCAGGAGCTGGTTCTTGCCAGGACCACATCCCTCACTCACCATGACGGCAACCCCGGAGAACATGATGGCGGAAACCAGCTGCCAGACCCTGCATGAGAGGGGAGAAAGACAGAGGACCCAGCATGAGCTCAGAGGTGACCCCATCACTCATACTTCACAGAGCATTTCTGGCTGCCTGCTTGGCCATCAGCCTTCATCCTTCCCCCATGCACAAGCGAGACAGCCAGAAAGCTCCCATGGAAGGACTCAGCTTTCCACATCCTGCTGGCTCCGGCCTCAACATGCAGACCAGCCTTGCTGGGGAGACAGAGCCAGACTCCCCCTCACCCAAGCAAAGGGGGGAAGTGACCCTGCCAAGAGGATGCTGCAGTGCAGGGTCCCCACAGGAGACACCACCCTGTCATAGAGTAGAACAGGAGCTCCTCCAGCCCCTCATAGCCCTTGAAGTTCTCTGCACATGCAATGAGACAAGAACTTGAGGGCCTCAGGCTCATTTATGGGGGAAGAATGCAGAGCCTGTCTGGTTCCATAGCCTGCAAGAAGCCCCTGCAGGGAGCAGTGATGCTGGCACAGCAGCAGAGCTGGTGTCAGAAACCAGAGCTGGCCAGGATGCTGTGGCCAAGGGGCCTCAGATAACCTAGCTCCAAGGTGATCTGGTACCTTACCTGAGTCCCAGTGGTTCCCGGACTGCAAACTTGATTTCATTTCCCAGTACTTGGCTAATCTGAAATTCAAATGAAAGGCACAAGGTAAGCAGATCCTTCCACAGTCTTTAGGCAGTACTCACTAGCCCAAAACCACATATCTAATCCCATGTGGGAGTTATCTCTGAGATGGTTGGAAGGAGGAGGAGGAGGACAAAGGATTCAGCTGTGACTCTTTGGTCCCAACACCTGCCTTGATTTCCATCAGGGGATGCAGCCCCTACTGCTTCCTTACTGGGATCAGCCACCTGCAGCATGCTGCTGGGGAAGGGTCAACACTAACTCCTGTTTCCTCTTAGCTATGGAAGAAGGGAACTGACTCCTCACACACATCACCTGCATGTCACATCCTGATGGAGCACAGGCTCCTGCAGAGCCCTCAGGGTGTCACAGTACCTGTCCTACTGTCGTGTGCACACTTCCCAGAGCTGTTCATGTGAACACGCTCCTCTTCACAATGCCTGGCTGTGACTACCCCAAACCACACGGATGGGCAAAACCCTGGTTTGCCCAGGACAAGGTCCCTTTTCCATCATTACTTCCCACTCTGCTGCCCTCACCTTGGAGCGATGGACCTCGCCATCATCATCCTCCCCGCCGACGCCCAGGATCTTGCGTGTCTTCAGCCTGCTCACCAGGTCGGTCTGGCTGTGCTTCTTCATCAGCGGCGGGGGCTGCTTCGCCGCCATGGTGGTGGCCCAGCCCCGCCGAGCCCTTGGCTGCGAGGTGGCACAAGGAGGGTGCAGGAAGCGGCTCCGCTCTCACATGAAACTTCACGACGTTTGGGAAAAAAATAAAACAACCACCTCCACCAAACCTTTCTGTTAGATCGGCAGACGGCTCCTCATCCTCGCGGGGCAGGGAGCCCTGGCAACGAGGCCGGCCCCAGTTACAGGTGGCTCATCTCAGAATGATCCTGCCCTCTCCGGGATCTGCCATGGAGGGGGAAAGAAAAGACTCAGAGCAGAGTGGCTTTAGCATGGACATTTAGTTATAAATGCTTTTGACCTACAAACCATAATCTTGTCTATCTCAGCATGAGGCAACGCTCAATACCTCTTTGCTGTTTTTGAGATTAGGGGAATTAAGTGCGTCTCAGACTAGGGGAATTAAAATCATTAAGTAATGCTTGGCCTTTTTTCTTTTCCCATGCAATACATCACATTCTTCAGCTGCCATTTCAGGTCAAACCCCACACAAGTATCAATTATTTATTTGTGTGTCCCCCCCCTCAGATGCTGCAGCCCCCAGGCTGTGCCAGAACTTATCAGCCGAACAACAAGAAGCTAGAGGCATGATTTTTCCCTGAAGACACTCACTTTGCTTTCTGGGAAATGATGGCAATTAGAAACTACAAATACTATCTGGGATAAGTAAACACAGGCAATGAGAATTGAAAAAGGTAACTTCTCCCCTGGCATGCATATAAAGGTACAGGTATTAAGTCCCATGAAATGACTCTGTCTCATCCTGCAGTCATAAAACCCTGGAAACTCTCAGTTTGAATCCTCAGTTCAGAAAGCCTTTTATTCATTTCATCTTGGCTCAGCTGAACACAAACACTTTTTTCCATTTGCCACTTCACCCTTCCAGAGACCCACAGAAATTCTCCCCAGGCACCAAGCACAGCTAATCCAGCCCAAGCACTAGCAGCCTCATGCCCCAGCCAAGTCTTCCCAGAGCTGCCCCAGGAGGAGACAATTTATGCTGATGTTGAAATATTTCACAGGTCTTTGGAGAGTAATAAAATGAGATACTATTATTTTGGCATTGTGCGTGCAAGTGTTGTTCCAATGCCTTCCAGGGACTTCTCTCTCAAAGGAAAACCCTTCCCTGTGGTGGTTCAGACAAGAACAGCCAGTCCTGTCTGCAAGTGCCCAGTGTAACTCTTTCTTTAAGGCAAAGTTAAGAGGTCTTGCTGGGATGGTGCAAAAGGTGAATCCCATGATAAGGGTTTGATAAAACCCTTTCAGCAGACCAGGCAAAATGCTTTTCAGTGAGCCAGCTGAGCTACTCAGTGCTTTGGAGGTACTTCTTTTGGATTGTAGCAGGGCTTGTTTGGTTGTGGGTTTTTTGCTCTTATTCCACCCAGGTTCCTGGAAAGGCAGCACAAAGCCAGATGCAAAAGTCAGGGTCTAGAAATATTTCAGAACTGGGACAGTGGAAAACAATCACACAGGAGGAAGGTAGAAGCTGTATACTCAGGCCTGCCTTTCAGCACAAGGCAGGAAGCTCAAATGGTAGCTGACAGTAGAAAAGTTTGAAAGATTTATCATGTCTGGGGTTTGCCAACCTAAACTGTCACAATAAATTGTGTGTATTCAAATCTAGATAATCTGCACACAAAATCCACCCTAAAGCCAGAGTGATGTGTCTAAAAAAAAAAGCTCAACCTCTTTAACTCGCTGCACTTTGTGCAATTTATTCTGCTCCTGGCTGACCCAGACTCACAAGGTTGGATGTTGAGTGGTTTCCCACTAGAACTGCCAAAACATGTTGTTGCCGTGCTACTTCTGGCCCAGCATTTTCTGACCAAAGCCATCCATTCCAATTGTGAAGCAACAGTCAGGTGAATGCTCCTCTCTCTCACTCTGAGGCCATCCCACATCTCTAAAGTAAGGAGGAAAGCCTGGCAGAGGACCTGAGCAGGAGCATCCTACTGACTCTCCTCAGGGATAAGAAACCTGAGGCTTGCTGGTCTTGACAGGACTCGGGGTGCTGAGTGGGCTGGCCATGCCATCCTGGCACTTCTGGATCTTTCCTGGTTTCTTACTAGGCAAAGCCTGATGCCCACACCTCCTGCTCTGACCTCATGGTCAGAAATGCCAGAGGAAGGGAAGATGGGATGGGGGGGAAAAAAGAGAAAGGAAGGAGGGAGAAAAAAGAGAAAGGAAGGAGGGAGAAAAAAGAGAAAGGAAGGAGGGAGAAAAAAGTAATAGAGAATTTCTCCTGAGAGCAAGAAGCAAAGAAAGGTGGGACTCCATGACTCACCAGTGAAGACTGCACTGAATAGCTTTGTGATTACAGAGACAGTTTAGCAACTGGCTTAAGGCCAAAAGATCAAAATTTGCCTTCATCATTTGTCTGGGCAGTTGCTTTCAGAGCAGGAGTTAGTGGAAATTTATCCACATCATCATTAACACTGCTCTCCCATTAAGAGTTTCCACTAATTTGCGGTAAGCCACTGGCCAAGAGCCGGGACAACACAGGCCAGACACAAATGCCAATAAAACAATCTGATGCATAAACCCACGCTCCTAGAGCTATGGCATGGCCCCGCAGCCGGTCGCACATCTCATTATCCCCATCGTCCAGAGACAGAGCCAGCCTCACGAACGCTGAATATTAATGGCTAACGAGCTAATGAATGCAATTAGCGCTAATTCAGTGACATTCAGATAGAAGATGCTGAGGATTTGAAAACATTATACTTACATTAACGTATCCTGACACACTGACAATTTAGAGGATGGTTTCTATTAGCCTGTGAGTTTGCAAAGGGAAACCTCCACCTCCTCTTTCTCCTGCGATTCTCTCCTCCTTAATCCTTTTTCCAAGCATCCCAGGGACTGTGCAGGTCAACCACCATAAACAGGCAATTCCTACTCCCTGCCACAGCTCTCTGTGACGGGCAGTGCTTATGTGCAGCTGAAAGAGGGTTTTTTCCTTATAGATCCCTTTTCTTCACAGGCTCTTTTCAGTGTCTGCTCCCTTGCTCAGCTGTTCAGCATACCGCATTCAATTTTGATAGCTACTGCTTAGTGGTGCAAAGAAACCCCAGTGGTGCCACGCCAATGATAGCTCAATCTCTCCCACCTCCACAGCTCTTCCCCCAACGTCTCTGCTTCCCTGCCAGCGTCTGGAGAGGAGAGCTCCGCAGCGTGGGAGAGAGGAGCCTCCACCGCACACGCCACGGCGCTGCAGCAGCCGGAGCTGCGCGCCCACGGGAGGCGCAGAACCAGACCCTGCTCCGGCAGCGCCTGGAGCCGACTGCCTGCAGCTGAGACTGCCTGCAGCTCCCGACAGCCAGGGCATAACTGCCCGTGGGGGCAAGCTGCCTGCCTGGAGGACATGGCTCCCCAGAGCCCTGGGGACAGGGATGCTGCCTACTGCTAAGCTGGATGGCACTGTCATCCACAGCGCAGCCTGCTCTAACTGACAAAGCAGTGGTGCTTGAATTAAAGAGGTGGCACTACAGAACCTCTCACTCCAAGGGTTTGATGGCACTTCCCATCTGCAAGCAGGAGAAGAGAGTATGAAACTGGAGTCAAGCTGGGACAATGAAATGTTTATACATTTAAGTTGGACGCAAGTTTGTTCAGCTCTGTCATGTTCAGACCAGTGAGAGGATTCTTGCTCTTCTGTTTTAGATTTCCCAAGTCAGCATGCCCAAGACAACATCTTCAGCTTGCTTTGATTTGTTACACCTAAGAATTATCCAAGAAGGTGCAGTGGATGAGTGTCCTTTGTAACAGCCTAACAGGGCACTTGCCATGCCTAAGCATCTTTTACAAAGCACAGGTTGAGAACCGATGTGAAGTATGAAGCAGATGAAGCAGAGGCAGTGTCCCTTTCCAGTTCTGGAGTTCTCTGGGAGCAATCTGGCAGAGCCCAGGGGAGTTCTCCAGCACTGCAGCAGCACAAGGTAGTGTGCACCTGAGAGGGGCATCCACCATAACAGCTGTGCTATACCTAGCCCTCACAGATGGGCTGATGCCCACTGCAGTTTGTCTTGCAAGGGCCTGGCAGCTGTAATGGATTTGTCCAGCTCTTATGATGTTCCTCCCGGCTGCTGCAGTTCTTTCTCTTTGCTGCTGAGGACAGTACTGTGTCTATAGCAGCTGCTCTGGACCCTATACCTCATCAGCCACAGAGCTGGGCTCAAACACATGCACACAGTAAAGATGGGAGGCAGTGGAAACACAGGTGGATTAAGGACAGGATCCACAACCGACCAAGTACCTTGGTCCTTGCAAACATTACACTGTTGCCTAATCACATGGGACCCAAGACTCCTTTTTTTCCTACTACATGAAGGCTCAGTGTGCTCACTTTTATACGCTTAAAGTCTGTTCATAAACAACCTCAGACACTTCAGGGCTCTGAAATCCTGAGGGATGAGGTAAATTCCCTGTGTCTAACCCAAAAACACACCTGAGAGTCAAAAAACATCTTTGTGCATCCTATCTAAATGGTCTATCAAGAGTTTCCCCTGGAAGCCCATGGTGCAGCATACCCTGAGCCAGAACTACCCTCGTCCCATGTAACTACCAAAACATAGCTATTTTCATCTTGTATTTCTGCAACTGCACATCCCAAACCCACAGTGACCAAACCAGCTCCCTGCCCAGATTTCTATCAAGCATGGAGATTTAGACTGTTAGGACCCCTCTACCACCAGCCAGCTAGCAATGAAACTTGATCAAGCCAAAAATAACCTGATGATCAGGCAGTAAAACCAATTAGCACTCAGCCACCACAGCAGCAGAATGCGGCGGCTGCTCCCGCTCCGTCTGGCACAGTCTGTACCCCTAAGCAACAGGGAGACTTCAGATTTCTCACCCGTTACAAGCCAGGTACACAGGACTCTGTTTCCACATAAACACCAGCCCTCTCAGCACAGAAGGCTCTTTGCAATACCAGCAGGAAGCATGTCTTGACAGAGGCTCATCCCCAGTCCTGCCACCGCCCCTTAAGCAACTCTAAAAGGCACAGGGAGACTCTGTCATTTCTAGGGAATACCTACAAACCTAGGCAGTAGATTTCCTGCCCCTACACATGATGAAAACGCAAAGCAAGATCCTTAGGTCAAAGAACATCTTCACTGGGTGCCTCCAGATCGCGTCCCAAATCATCTGCAACGCACCAAGAGCCTCAGGCACATCTCAAGCTCACCCTTCAGGCTGAGCACATCTCATGGCCAGACACCATT